CCAGAGCTTCATCTAATTCGGAAGCTACTGAATCAGATAATCGAGCAGATTCTGGTGATGATCAAAATGATGATGATGATGGAACAAACGCTCAGAATATTCCTGTTGAAACGTTTGTGGATGATCTTGCTACGATCTTTCCTGAATATTCAGCTCAGCAACCTTGTCCGAATCTACGTTCTTTATCATGTAATGTTGATGAATGTGATGATTATGATCGCATTCTTCAAGATTTATCAAATGAAGGAGAAGATGAGGGAGTTGAAGTTGAAAATGAAGAGAGTTTGAGAGAACGGGAAGAAAAAGAAAATGGAGAGGGTGTGAGTGGAGCAGAAAAAGAAGATCAAGCTCCTTCCCAAACCAAAACACTTAGCCGGACAACTACATCTACTACTGACATTCATGTGTTGAATGTTAGTATTGAAGCAGACATAGCTAGCCCAGCTATGCATTTGCACACCCCTCCTATCCACTCAATTGGTTCTCAACAACCAATTGTTTCAATTTCACATAGGGATTTAGCTCATACGCTAACTACTTCTCAATCGGATAATGTAGTTATTGAAACAAGTAGGTCGCTGCCCCAGCCTACGACTTCGATTCTGTGCACCTCAAGTCTAGAGCCGATACACTTAGGTACACATGAATCAGGAGCATCTGTTGCTCCAAGTGCAGTTCTTAGTGAACTAGGCGGAACGACCGGAGTGATGTCTGTTGACATTTCACGAGGACAGATCGGAAGTCCTACCAATGCTAACATTATGCCAACATTGAATGTAGGCACAGCAGTTTACTCAACTGTTGTTTCAACTGGTATTCTACGTGAACCAGGTGTGAGCTTACCTGACTTTGTGTCAAGGGAATATTTAGACGGCGCCCTAAAGGCTGTTCAAGAAAACTTTGACGCTCAAATCGCTAGTTTGAAGAGATTGTTGAAGGGTAAAGAAGTTGTTGTAGAAGAGCCACCATCTGCGCCATCACCACCACCTGTACCTGAACCATTAGTACCAGATCAACCGTTAGTAAATCAATCGGTGGACGAGCTGAAATCTCTTCTATATGCTAAGTTGATGGCTTCTCAAAGTGAAGACGCTGAAGATGAAGATTTGGTTGGTGTCTTACGCCAACAAATTGATACTAACCCTGTAATTAGAGCCTCAGAGTTCTTGACTTTTCAGGATGTGATTAAAGCTAGTTTTTCTAAAGTCAGTAACTTAATCACATCTCATTTCCAAGATCTGAAACGTTTAATGGATGCTCTTGTTGAAAGGGTATCTATACTTGAAGAAACTTGCAAGTCTCAAGCCACATCTCTTAAACGAAGACATGACGATCAGAATGATCCTGATAGTCATGAGGGGGAGATGAAAAGACAGAGATTGGCTGAGACATCTCAACAAGGTGCAAGGATGGGTGAAGAGTCATTAGCTCAGGACGTAACTGCTGAAGGTTCTGCCCCGGAAACAGTTCGGGAAA